TTCCTTAGACCACCTCCCTGGCACTCTCGGTAGTGAACGGAGTGTGTTTCTGGCATTTCCTCTTGGTGCAGAGCAAGTTAGGGATAAAATGTCTACATGTCTGGAACTCGGTCGGCATCTGGATCTCTCCCTGAGTAGCAACCTATTTCAGTTCAGTGATCTTGACCTAAAAGAGGAGAAGAGCTTGCAGTAAACTGCTTAAGAAGGCACACTTGGTTCCACACAGAAGCTGTGAGGAACCTCAGCCGTGGCACTTTCATAATGATGGTGATGATGCCTCTGTCCGTGTAGGCTGCTATAACAAAACACCTTCCACTGGGAAATATGTAAACAGAAATCTGTCGCACACACTTCTGGGAAGTCCCAGATCCAGGCACCAGCAGATTCGAGTCTGGTGACAGCCTGTTCTCAAGGATGGTGGTGTCTGGTTGTGTCCTCCTGAGGTAGAAGGACAGGGAACCCTTTTTAGGGGAGCCAGCTCTGCTCATGAGGGCTGCCTGCCTTGTCTGCTCCCCTCCCCCAGCCCTGCCTCTTACTACTGCCCTGGAAATCACATTCTGATGTAGGAATTTCAGGGAGACACAAACATTGAGACAAAACAGGTGAGATAATTATGGTGATAATTATCACAGTATACGCTGAGAGCTTTGGTCCACATTCCCAACTCCTCTGTTGGTACGGAAAGCAATCCCCTGGGCTGCCTCCCATCCCTTCTGTGGCACAAGATCTCTCTTGAAGCTTACCTTGCTGTTGGTTCCTCCACCCTCGGCAGGCTGTGTGTGTGTGTGTGTGTGGCCTGTCATTTGGGGCAGGGGAGCCTGCAGGTGCTCATTATTACATAATCTGGGGTCAGGCCAACAATGGGCAGAGGGAGGGATGAGCAGGATGCATTGTGACCTTTCCACAGAAGTCAGGCCTGAGTGCCTGAGTGACATCCAGGGGAAGGAGGCAGGGAGGGAGCGGAGGCTGTGGGTTTCCCTGAAAAGCTGAGCAAAGAGCAGCAGCAATGGCTGAAGGGTGAAGCACTGTCGATGGGGTTTCAGTTTTGGTAGACCCAGGAGAGGGGCATGAGAGCAGAGCAGGGGAGAGAAGGCGCCGTGGAGCCCATCCGTGAGTGAGGGGGAGAAGACGCTCCAGAGCCCAGTGGGAAGCATGGCCTTGCTCCCAGCGCAGGAGTGACTCATCAGCTCCATGATTCACATAGGAAAGCAACTCCCTGTGTCCTGAAACCAGAGCCCGCTCCCTCTGCCCACGCAGGAGTCAAAAGACAGGGAATGCCGTCACCGTAAAACACTAGCCGATTCCACAGGTCAGGTTTACAAGCTCAGGAAAAAAATGGAAATTCTAATCATAAAGATGATAAAAGTTTAATAAAAAGTAAACCCAAGTTATACTTAAAATCGGATGCAGTTTAAAAGACAATAAAATAAACTCAAAGGGGGGCTGGGGATGCGGCTCAAGCGGTAGCGCGCTCGCCTGGCATGCGTGCGGCCCGGGTTCGATCCTCAGCACCACATACCGACAAAGATGTTGTGTCCGACGAAAACTAAAAAATAAATATTAAAAAATTCTCTCTCTCTCTCTCTTTCTCTCTCTCTCCCCCTCCCTCTCTTAAAAAATAGAATAAACTCAAAGGGAAGAATAAAGGAGGCACGTTGGAGACGAGATTAAGATAAAATAAATAACAAGGAGATGAGAAGCTACAAGCATAAAAGGAAAAATGAATTATTAACAAGAATTCAGAACAGGGAGGAAAATGAAATGCTGAAACTCTAGGAATGAGAATAGGGCTGTGAGCCCCAGGAGAGCAGGAACACTGAGGAAGAGGGGACAGCAAAGGCCTTGCGGGAGGCAGCCCACGTGTGAGCAGCCCACCTGACGAGAGCGGCCGCCCAGGGTGCCTATTACTCTGCTGCTCTCTGGGGTCCTGGAGGCCTGGGAAAGCTGGCCAACCTGTGACCTGGCCTCCCTGCCCCTCCACAGACACACTCTGCCAGGTAAGGAGAAAATGGACAGATCAGGAAAGAGGCGGTGACAGTGTCCACTGGCATTTTCTAAAGAGCACGTGGGCATCAGAGGGGCACGATCTTCACAAATAGAAGGAGGCCTCGAGACATGGGTGACACCAGCCCCCTGACACATGACTGCTATGGAAGAAGGGCCCCGCAGGCAAGGGCAGCGCTTGGATGGGAACCTGTGCCAATGCTGACTGTCGTCCTTCTTCACCGCCTTGTCCCTTGTCCCCTGCTCCATCGTATCCCCCCTTCCCTCCCACCAATCTCTCCCCTTTCAACCCTGCATGACTCGTGGGGCATGAGGTCAAGCCTCGAGGTTTTAAACTGGTTTTGATTTTAGAGTCTTGGGACTGAGCAGGCTGCAGCTCTCTCCAGTCCTGCCTTCTGTTAAACTCTAGGCTTACCTCCCTCCCGTCTTCTCCGTCCTTCCTTTCTTCTTCTCCTTTCCTCTTTCTCATTTTTATTCTGTGAATACTACTGGATGGCTTCTGTGTGCCAGCCCAGGTTCCTGGCGTTGAGGAGGTCTGAGTGGCTGTAAAGAGATGGCAGATGGCAGTCCTAACATCAAGCAAGTGTTCCCATGAAGAAATGCCTAAGAAAAGCTGAGGAAAGTGCTCTGAAGGTCCGGGACACTGTTCTTTGAAACCACGTTCAGCCCAGGACCGGGGCAGCTTCCCAAGAGATGTGACTTAGGCCGAGGGTCACAGACATTAATGGGATGGAGACTGGAAGGGCTTCCATAGAAGGAGCAGGGGGCCACGTGTTTGGTGGAAGAGCCAAGGCTGGTGGAGGAGAACCACGGAGGGGAACGTAGGTCGCAGAAGGGGGTGAGAGGAGGGGCCGTCTCTGCCATGTTACCTGTTCAGTTTAATTTCTGAGCTATGGGAAACCATTAAGGGCCTTAGGAAGATTTGTAATTTGAAAATACAATCTTTGAAATATGATCACAGCTAGTAGATGTTAGTCTACTTCAAATGTATTGGGAGATGACTTTTTTTTTTTTTTTTTTTTTTTTTTTTTTTAAAAAGGAAGTTTATTGGTCTTTAAATGGCTCAAATTGCAAATAAACGATCGGGTAGTGGCATCAGCCGAAGACATGTGATACATCTTTGTCAGTTGGCTTCATAGCACCTCAGTACCCAGGAGAGGAAAGGTCTCAAAGCAAAGTCACGATGTTAGTGGTTAGGACCCCTGGTTCAATAAGACTGCAATGAGTACACTGGAGACTGCTGGGCCTGCTGGCCAGCGCGACACTGGTAACTTTAATTCTGCACATGGCATAGCTCATGAGGAATATGAAATGAAAGATGTACATCTCAAACCCTTAAGGACAAATATTTAACATGACAAGCTGGATGTCATATCTAAAGAGTTGAGTTCCTAAAAAGCCTATTTTTGATAACTTTACATACACACCTGTTCCCTGGAATGCCTCAACACATCTTTGACCTTTTAAAACATTAGGACTGAGCAACAGAAAGATAAACTTTGTTCAATCAACTGTCTTAGCCACATCCTAAAGAGGATAAGAAAAATCTGATAGTGGTAAACTTCCCATTGAAATTATGTTCCCAAATAACACACTAGAATTCTTCCCATGGGAACACCATACGATGGTGATCCAGTCTAATGTTTGATCTGTGAGCCAAACACTTTCTGCACTATACCTGTGTTTGATTGGTTGATGTTAACTTTAGAAAAATGTAGTTACAGTGTTCTTCACTATGAACATAAACAGACTACAAATACTAATAATTTCCATAAAGCCAAACTGTAACCTCATGAGAACAAATTTAGAAGAGGACAGGTGGCAAGCATGAATATTTCCCGAAGTGTTCTAGTGCAATTTGCATAGCACTGTTGACTTTTTCCTGTGCCCTGTTCCCAGGAGATTAGAAGCTTAACACTTACATGCTCACCACTTATAGGAAGTGATTTCCAGGAACCAGCATCTTAAGAGAAAAAAAAGGTTCACTCAAATTTAACTGGTGCTGAATCCTCATAGTCTAAAATTATCTTCCAAGTACATGCTGGCCCTTCCTTTACTACCTTATAGTTTATTTAAAAGCAATCAAGGAGCTCTGGAACTTTATTCTTAAGAACCAGAGTATGGCACACATTTTTAATTTGGACAGACTCCTAGCAGATAGTAATTTCTCAAGAATCTTCTATACAAAAGCTGCACTTCATCTAAGCAAGGTAAGATCTTCTCTCACCAGAACTCCTGGGGCAGTGAATAGGCCCACAGTACCAGTGAGAACACACCTAGAATGGTGTAACAGGGAATTTTTCATTTTCAAAATTAAGGCATATTCAAAATTTTCCATGTACAAGTTTACACCACTTTTCTAAGTTAATCACCAGGTAATTAATGCAGATCCACAAATTACTCTCAGTTTAACCATATGCAACAACCATGCCAATAACTTTTTCTTCTATATTTTGCATAACAATGGTTAAAAAAGTGGTACAGTTTTAACTATCATGTTCACAACTGTCATTTTTTCAAGGCAGTAGAAGACCAAGACATTTTAAAATGATATAAAATTTAAACTTTATAATAAACACCAGAGAAAGTGGTCTTTGCTCCAATTCCCCACCCCCATTTCACCTCTTTTAACAGTTCAAGAAAGACTGCCCGAGAAACACAAGCTCACACGCTACATTCAGGACTGTGATAAATGTAGGCAATTATGAAGTTAAGTTGAACTTTGCTTCATGATGAAGCCACGTTAATTTCTTTTTTAAGTGAATTTGACTTTCAGTGCAGTTCCAATTCATGCTTTTAGCGATACATAACAATTTCCAAAATGTTAAAGTAATTTCAGTCAATTGAGCCTTCAATGGCAATGCTTATAAATTATATTTATTAGTATGGTCAAGATAAGAAAGAAGTTTGGGCTTTGATTATAAAATGCAGCATCTTTCTCTGATTCTCTTGGCTAAACTTTTCCTCTTCTTTTTTCCATTCTTTTCTAGAGAGCGGCCAGGAGGAGGGTGGATCTCCCCAGAGCGGAGTGCCGGAGTCCTCCTCCTCCACCAGCCGCCCGGGCTCTGCCGCCGCTCGTCAGACTCTTCCTTCTGCCGCTCCCGGCGTGGAGCTTCCCAGACAACAAGGGCCGAGTACCCTCCAGCCAGAGAGGCTAGCGCACCCGCGGCTTCGGGAACCGGCGGGGCGGCGGACCGGCTCGCTGTGCAGATCCTTCTTAATCCTCCAGTGAAAACTCGACAACATACAATGGCTGCAAATAAGCCCAAAGGTCAGAATTCTTTGGCCTTACACAAAGTCATCATGGTGGGAAGTGGTGGTGTGGGCAAGTCTGCTTTGACTCTTCAGTTCATGTATGATGAGTTTGTGGAGGACTATGAACCTACCAAAGCAGACAGCTATAGGAAGAAGGTGGTGCTGGATGGGGAGGAAGTACAGATTGATATCTTAGACACAGCTGGACAGGAGGACTATGCCGCAATTAGAGACAACTACTTCCGGAGTGGGGAGGGGTTTCTCTGTGTCTTCTCTATTACAGAAATGGAATCTTTTGCAGCCACAGCCGACTTCAGGGAGCAGATTTTAAGAGTAAAAGAAGATGAGAATGTTCCATTTCTACTGGTGGGTAACAAATCAGATTTAGAAGATAAAAGGCAGGTTTCTGTAGAAGAGGCAAAAAACAGAGCCGACCAGTGGAATGTCAACTATGTGGAAACATCTGCTAAAACACGAGCTAATGTTGACAAGGTGTTTTTTGATTTAATGAGGGAAATTCGAGCCAGAAAGATGGGAGATGACTTTTAGGACAAGAGTCTTCCAGGGTCCTGGGAAGTCACAGAACACAGCTTGCCCTGCACCTCAGCCTGAAGATAGGCCTCTGCAGAATGAACCTCAGGGTTCAAAGTAGAAGCAGGAGACTTTCACGTGACACAGAGCCCAGGACTCCTGAGGGGGAGGAGCTGGCAGACGCACCATGGGCATTTGTGTGAATATACATGAAGATGTGCGTGATTGTCAACAAATTACCAGCTTTCAGTTATTTTGTCTGTGCTCATTACATACATCTAAGGTTTAGCTCTTTGGTACTGTATCTTATTTTCATTGCACATAATTTTTAAGTAGTGAAATAAGACTTGGTTTAAGAAATAAAGATTGTATTTTATTTGTTTATTTATATTTCTTGGTACTTGGGATTGAACCCAGAGCTGTTTTACCACTAAACTACATCTACAGTGATTTTTATTTATTTTGAAGTTCTCACGAAGTTGCTAAGGTCTCCCTAATTTTCCCTGGCTGGCCTCAATCCTGCAATCCCCCTGCCTCATCCTCCTAAATTGCTGGGATTACAAGCACATGCCATTGTGCCTAGCTCTTAAGAAATAGTTTAACAAGAGCAATAACAAAAAGCCATAAAGAAACACTGAAGGGATTTGACATCAAAAATCAAAAACATTTATTTCAGGATGTTCTCTAGGGAGAGTAAGACGAAGACTTATGGATTATTATGTAAATGTAAACATTTAAGGTAACTGCAGTTTTGTCTTGATTGTTGTTTACATGCTAAGGATTGAATTCAGGGCTTTGGTTTGGCTAGGAAAGCTCTCCACCACAGCCACACCCAATCTCAGTGCTGGCTTGGCTTCAAAAGGGCACTAAATTTCCATTTTTTCATAGCTTCTATAACTCTGCCTCACTTCGTCAAATAAGACCAGAGGGACCAGCAGGGTCCCAGAGGACATTCTGCCATGATGAAGATGTTCAGTATCTGTGAGGTTCAATATGGCAGCCAACATGTGGCTGTTGGGCACTTTGAGTATGACTGAGGAACTGAATTTTAATCTTCCTTTATTTTTCATTAATTAAAATTTAAGGAATGCCCGTGTCCAGTGTCCACTGGAACCATGCAGGCATAGGCACAAGAGCAGCATACAATCTCCAGAGTGGACCTTTCTGGGTCAACGCTCCTCTCTTGCTTTCTTGCTACCTCTTGGAGTACCTGGCACACAAGACATGCAGTGTTTGTGTAAAGTTGATAGAAACAGTTTCCTATTTGCTATTGTTGCCCTTTTGAATTCTTTGCCCCCATGATTTGTGAATTGTCTCCTCTGCTTGGCAAGGGAAAACTGGTAGAGCGCTAGAGCTGGAAGACACAGCAGAGACTTTCTAGTCCAGGAAGACCAAGGGCTTGATTCTTGGGCCATCATGACTGAATCTTTCAGGGGTGCTGTGTTGAGAATGATTCTGAAGCTGCAAGCAAGCGTGTGACAGTGAAAGGTGGTCAGAATGGATGCATCATGGGTTAGGGTTAGGGTTAGGGTGGGTGGCAGGGGCTGTGGAGAAGGGGCCGGGGTGTTTCTGTTGTCACATGACAAAATAGACCACCCCAAACCTAACTCTTTTAAAAAATAGTTACTTTATGATGATCTGTTGTGGTCCTGGGGATAAGTTGGGCTCAGTTAGTTGTGTGGGTAGAAGAGACACTCATGAGTCATCAGGTGGTAGTGGGGCTGAGATCTCCAGACTGGCATGCAGGTAAGCCTGTGTTGAGGGGATTCCAACAGCGGCTCCCGGGCACTTTCCTGTTTTTCCATCTGGTCTTTCCAGGAGGCCTCTTACATACAGTGACATCAGGGTAAGCTGGGCTTCTGTGGCGTGTAAGGGCCCCCAGGGCCTGTATCCTGGTGGGCAGAGAGCCATGTGGCAGCTTTCCCATCCTCATGATATCACATGTCCTTCAGTGACACCTGACACACTCAGCTGAGGCAGACACAAAGGCCTCCCCGTCCTGGGGAGAAGGGCAGGCTTCCAGATGAGCGCACCTGAGAGGACCTGGATCAAGGCTCCAGGAACAAATCAAACCCAGACTGACCACCCTGACCATTCCAGACCAGCTCTACCTCGAGGAGTCTGAAGCTGATTTACCACAGCCAGATGCCAGGACCATTCATAAAGGAGCCCCACTTGGCCGTGGGACTAGTCCAGACCCACTCTCCCCACCAGCCCTTCGCAGGCTGCAGACCCCGGCCTCAGACAGGAAGCAGAGAGCTGCTTTTTATTTCTCTTTCCTCTCTTTCATGACAGTCCACAGATGCAAAACAGGTACATGTCTAAGTGGCCCTTTCTCACCAATCCTAATGAGGATTTCCTTACTTAGGGCCAATTCTGTAAGAGGTAGCTTAGCAGACACAATAAAATGAAGAATTGGCTGCAGTCTTTAAAATAAATTAACATGGGTTTTCTTTTGTCTTACTCATAAAAACACTATGATGTATTTAGTTTTACCCATTTACTAGATGAGAAAACGGAATTTAGAAGATTGAAATAACTCATGTATTTTGACTCCTTTTCTGCACAAAGTAAGTTGTCATAATAAAAATAGTATTGAAACCTTAAGAGCTGAAATTCATGGGTCATTTACTCCGTGCTTTCTGCTTTCTTCCAAATATCATTTAACTATGCTTCTATAAATAGTGTGAACCCAGCTCAGAGACCTCTTAGGGTTGTTCTTTCTTTTTGCCTCTGAATCATGCAGCCATGCTCCTGTCCCTGATGAATTCAGGTAGGCAACTCTCTAATATTTTGGGGGAGTCCCAGTACATGCTAAAACTCACCTGATCCTGCCTTTGAGCACTAAGGAATGCGTCCCCTGAGCCCTCTGGCCATCCTACCCCCTCTCCTGAGCTGTTTCTTCCTCCTCCTTCTGATGTCTGGTGTGGCTCCACAATAACAGAGCATTGGAACAGAGCTTTGGGAAGTGGTGGATGGGGTTGGGTGTCAGTCTCTGCACGGAAGAAAGAAAAAAAAATTGCCAAGGACACGAGAGTTCTTCCTTAGAGGATCATGCCATTCTCTGTCACTTCCTCAACTGGACCCTACCCTAGATAGTATCTCTCCTTCAGCATTCCCTGTAGGGGATCAGAAACTGCCATCCCCCCAATATGCCATTTTTGTATAAGGATTATTTTTAACTGAAGAAAAATGAAAGAGAAATAGCAAAGGTCAAGAAAAGTGCTCCACCCCATTTGCCTAAAGGTAGACTTGGACTCCTGAGCCTCAGAGGCCACAGAGAGCATCAGCATAGCATCCCTGAGGGAAGCAACACTGATCCTCCATTCCTCTGCCCACAGCTTGCTGCCCCTAAAAGTCCACACACCTTTCCCTTCCGGTTGTCTCTCTCCTGAGTGTCCTTCTCTGGGAGGCCGTGTGAGCCCCAGGATCCAGCCCCAGTTTCCAGTCCCTCCTCCTTCGGTCTGTCTTGGGCGGGTGAGTGCCACACACGAAAGTCATCTCTTCACTCTTGTTGTCTTTTGTCAATTTAATTTCTGACACCCCAACCCAGAACCCAGGAGGTGGAGGAAAGATATTTTCCTCCCTGTCACCCCTCCTGGGAGCGTCCTGTGGCCTCCGTAAGAGCCTCATAAGAAACAACTACAGTTTTACTTTTAAAAATGTATATTTAGCTCTTATTTTCATTGACCTCCATATTTTTATATGACCCCAAGGGCCTTATCTTTCAAAAACAAATGGCTGCTGTGTTTGCTTAAACGAAAGATTCATCTTCTCCTTAAATGGAAGTTCGACATCTGCCTATGCCCCAGGAATCACGGAACTGTTAAATTCACCTATTCCCCAGGAATCACGGAAGGGTTATGGAACCATTCTGTCACACTGGAGGATGAATTTGATATTTTAATCCTAATGTAATTTCACTGAATGCGTAAGGGCCCTCCCATGTAGGCTCTGTGATGATAAAAAGTAACTCCCTTTCTTTCTATCCTGTTTCCCCTCTGCTGCACCAGGAATCTGTTAGAACAAGGATTGGATGACATAGTCTGCCCAGAAGAGGTATTCCCAATCTGTCAGAATGGACTCCTTATTGAGAAGTTCTGGAGAATTCAAAAGATCATATGTGAACCAGATTGAATGCAATAGTTTATAGTGTGTATATTGTGTAAAGAGCTATGTTAAAAATCTGCAGCCAAATGCTTAAAATTGCATAGATGTGGATTTTATAACTGCTGAACTCTGGAGAGAGGTCCTGTTGACCCCTGTTGCAGTCTCCCAGAGTCCCATGCTGTCATCTTCACTGAATTGTGTTTCATGAAGATATTATCTCTTTCTAATGTGTTTGATTTAAACCACAAATCTATTCAGAAAAACCTAAGCAATTCAACATTCAGTGTCATGTAATGTAATGGGATGGAGACGGGGTCCTGGCCTTCGAGGACTGTGCAGCTGAATATAAGATTTAAAGTGAGCCCCAGTGTGCAGTGAGGGCTGAGGAAGGGGCATCTGTCGTGAGGACCAGAACCATGTGCCACTCAGAGGAAGGGAGATGTCATTTGTGTGGTGGGATGGGAATGGCTCCATCAAGGGAGTGGGATGTGAACTGGGTCTTGATCCATGCCCATTGGAATAAGAGGTGGTGTGCCTGTAGCCGGAGCAGCAAAAGGAAGTAACCACAGGTGATAGGAAGAAGAAGGGCACATGGGAAGACTGGGGTCCAGCTTGCTGAGACATCTATAGAGGCTAATAGATCATAAACCCACATAAATGTTGTGTGCTGTGGAGGCTCCAAAGGCCAATGCAAAGGGTACTAATTTGTAGGTAGCTGCAAAATTGCTAAGGATCTCTGGCTGCCCTGCAAGGAACACCACACCAGTCACAAGAGGTCAGGATCTCTGATTTTGAATGAAGTGATTTAATTGAGCTGACATTTTGGAAATAAACCAGAAAGAAACTGTTCTCCCTCCATTGTGACCTCAGCAGTGGCCCCGTTATCCCTGTTCCCATCTTCTCCTGTGCCGCAGTCCGGCTGG